GATGGATAAACTGTGCTGGATTCATACATGGAATACTGGCCAGCAATAAAAAGAATGAACTATTGGTACAGACACAACAAAGATAAATTTCAGAGAAAAGATGTTGAGTGAAAGAAGCCAGACCCTGAAGAGTACTTTATATTCTACTTATATGAAGTTCAGGAACCGGTCAAACTAATCTAGATCAATGAGATAGAGATAGATGGCAGACTAGCCTTTGCTAGGTTAGTGGTCATGGTGGTGGTTATTGACGAGAGAGCTCAAGAGAGCTGTCTGGCTGCTAGAATCAATCTTCTATAACTTAATCTGGGTGGTGGTTACACAGGTGTGTATACACACACACACACACACACACACAAAATAACCAATCTGTGCACTTGAGATCTATATATTTTATTATGTTCTACCTTAAGAAAAAAAGCCTAGAAAATCAAAACAAAAAACAGTCACCAGAGTAGATGTTCTTGCAGGGAAGAGTAGAAGAGAATGTCTGAGAAGTGTAAAGTTGTAGAAGACCTTGAATGGCAGTGGAGTGGCAGAAGTTTGGATGGTGTCCTATAAGTCTGGTAGGTTTGAAGGAGGGAAATGGCATAATGGAAGCAGAGATGTGCCTGGTAGTCTGAGGACTGGTCTACAAGTGGAGACTGTTGCAGTAGGACCTGGATGCCGGTGATACTGTTGCAAGTGGAAACTCAGAAGAAAAAAGAATTAGTAAGGCTGGTCACTGGTTGGGCAAGGACAGCAAAGGATGATGGGGCAAAGATGACTGAGATTCATTGCTAGATGGCTGGAAAAATGATGGCTCTAATAACAGAATTAAGAAAGCCAGGAGAAGGAATCAGTTTGGGAAGTAAAGAGATGAATGGTTTTACTTGCGTTAATTTTGAAATGGTGACGGCAGTTGTGAGACTCAGGAGAACAATTAGGGCTGGTGATCAAAATCTGGAAATCACCCATGTACAGATTATGTTGAGTAGATGAGATCCCTAAAAGAGTGTTGCAGAAAGATTGCAGAAGTCCGGCCCATAGAGAAGAAGAGACTGTAGTTGTAGCCAGAACCAGGATAACATAGAACGGAATGAGGATCTTAAGCCATATGGAGAGAGAGCGGGGCAGGAGATACAAAGGGAGAAGATACAGAAGTAGGAAAGGAAAAGCAAAGATTGAGACTGTGAGGGGGAGCTGGGATCATTGAGGGACCATGATCTTGGAGAAGGCGGGAGGAAACAGGTTCTGGAAACAAAGGCAGAGGACTTAACCTTGGTCAGCTTGACCTTTGAAGAACACAGGGGTGTACAGTCAGGTCACAGGCTTTGTCAGCATCTTCAGTCACTGCCTCTTGCAGTATATGCATTTTTTTCAATTGGAGCATAGTTGACGCAGAGTGTTACATTAGTTTCAGATGTATAGCATAGTGACTGGGCAAGTCTAACCTGTGCTCACCATGAGTGTAACTGCCATCTGTCCCCATACAACACTATGACCACACCATTGACCTTATTTCCTATGCTGTGCCTTTCATCCCTGTGATGTATTCATTCCATAACTGGAAGCCTGTATCTCTTCCTCCCCTTTATCCACTTTGCCCATCCCCCCCTTGCCCGCCCCCCTTGCCAACCATCAGTTTGTTCTCTGTGTTTATGGTCTATTTCTGCTGTTTGTTTGTTTGTTTTAGATTCTATATATAAGTGAAATCATATGGTATTTGTCTTTTTCTGTCTGACTTATCTCACTTAGCATTAAGCCCTCTAGGTCCATCTGTGTTGTTGCAAATGGCAAGATGTCATTCTTTTTTATGGCTGAATAATATTCCATTGTGTATATATGTATATATATATATATATATCACAACTTCTCTAGCCATTCATCTTTCTTTAAAAAAAATTTTTAAGATTTTTTTTTAAAGGTTTTATTTATTTGACAGAGAAAGACACAGCGAGAGAGGGAACACAAGCAGGGGGAGTGGGAGAGGGAGAAGCAGGCTTCCCGCTGAGCAGGGAGCCCGATGCGGGGCTCGATCCCAGGACCCCGGGATCATGACCTGAGCCGAAGGCAGATGCTTCACGACTGAGCCACCCAGGTGGCCCATCGATTCATCTTTCGATGGACACTTGGGTTGCTTCCATGTGGAAGCAACTCTTGCAGTATTCTTTGTCCTCTAAATAGGAACTGAGGGTGACCCAGGGTTGAGAATGAGCGTGACTGTGAAAGCCAAGAGGTCCCAGGTATTTGAACTTATTATGGGTTTCAAGCATAATCCTATCATTTGTGAAAGGGATACAGAAGTAGTTTAAGGCACCACGCTTGCCCTCTGGGAATTTATAGGGTACAATTCAACAATGACTAAGAGCCAAAACAAGGGCAAATAGGATGTTTTGAATCCTGATTTGTCATTTTCTAGCTGTGTAACTTTGGTCAGGCTGTATTGTGTCTCTGTGTCTCTGTTTTCTCATCTCTTAAAAAGGAAGAATAATGATAACCTCATATGTTGCCCTGGGGATTAAATGGGTTAATAGAAGCAAGGTGCTTGGAACAGTGCCTGAAACATAGTAAGTGGTAGATAAACGTTAGCTAAGATCATGATAAATTAGTAAAGGCTGCAGCTGGTGGGAAGGTTGTGTGGAGGAGTGGGCATTTACCAGAGACAATTCAGGGATAGAGAGGAGGAAAGGAATGAGAGAAAAGGAATCTATCGTGCGGAAAACGTTCTGAATAAAGTCTTAGATCAGCAATACCATTGGCACTTGCCTGTGATTTACTTGACAATCCAGACTATTCCTGCTGGGAGCAGTGCGGATTAGAGTAGAACAGGAGGGTGGGTGACTGGCCCTGGTCACAAGAAGAGACGTATGATTTGGAGAGTCAGGGCACTTTGGTTGTGATTTTTACCCTGGCCCTGTGACCTTGGGCAAGTTGTCCGATCTTAGGACCCCAAGTTTCCTAATCTCTAAAATGAAATGGACTGTATCTGTAAAATCCCTTGCTTCTCAAAAATTCTGTGCCTCATATGTGAAAATGATTTCTTGGACCCCACGGTCTGTGGAACAGTGGGTTTTTTCCAGCGCAGCATGGAGCTCTCTGGTCTTTGTGGGGGCAGACTTGTGGTTCCGGCATCATTAGTCCCATGCTGTAAGGGAGTGAGCTGACCAGCCCACATAGAGACACTACACACTGCCTTTGCAACACTTAGCAATCACTACCACTAGAGAAATCTGGGATCTCTGCGGGTGTGTTTATGAAAGGAGCCCTTGGGTATTTCACTCTCAAATTATTTAGAGTTAACTCTACTACTGTTCTCTTGAGGAGCCTCAAGTTTTATGGATACTTGCCTTGAAGTGGACCCTGAAGGCTAAGTAGGAGGGAAAGAACAATCTTTAGCCTTTTAAAAAAAATTTCCCAGATTGTCTTTGTGGAGCCCGCAGAACTAACGGCAAAAGCAGCACCATGAGCACCAGATGAAATGCTGGTAAAGCCCTAAAGCTTTATGGTAAGACTCACCTCTTGGGTCCTTTTGTGACAGGCACCAAACACTGTTGTTTTTGATGTTAGAGATTCCCCTGTTTCAAGGTGTGTTTTGTTTAAAGTTTTTATTTATTGAGAGAGAGAGAGAGAGAGAGAGAGAGTGTGTGTGTGTGTGTGTGTGTGTGTGTGTTTGCTGGGGAGAGGCAGAGGAAGACAGGGAGAGAGAGAATCTCAGGCAGACTCCGTGCTGAGCGCGGAGCCCGACTGGAAGCTCAATCTCAGGACCCTGAGATCAGGACCTGAGCTGAAATCAAGAGGTGGACTCTTTTTTCTTTTTCTTTTTCTTTTTTTTTTTTAAGATTTTATTTGTTTATCTGACAGAGAGAGAGACAGTGAGAGCAGAATCACAAGCAGGGGGAGTGGGAGAGGGAGAAGCAGGCTTCCCGCTGAGCAGGGAGCCCGATGTGGGGCTTGATCCCAGGACCCCGGGATCATGACCTGAGCTGAAGGCAGACGCTTAATGACTGAGCCTCCCAGGTGCCCCTCAAAGCATGTTTTAAATAACTCAGGACTCTGTATGAACATGGAAATGGGCTTTTCAAATCCCATGCTTAGAAATCATTGGCTCTAGTATGGCACTACTTCATTTTTCCTTTTAGAAGGGAAGTTTGGTTTGTTGTTCTGTTCTCACTTGTGTCCTTCCTGGTTTGAGCCCCTCTGGGCTGCACGCGGGCCTCTCTGCCATCCTTCACTCTGTGACGGGCACTGCAGTGCTGTTGCTTCAGAAGTTCTCGGAGATTCCTCTGCCATTTGCTTCCCCCCCGCCCCACCCCCAATTGTCCCTGGCAGGATCTCAGTCATCAGAGAGGTACTTCTGGACTCTGTACCAGATGGACTTTACACATCCTGGTGAATTGAAAAATAATTTGAAATGGAAGAGCCAAAGTAGATGGAAGCGATTTATCTCTATTTTGTGCCTCCAAAGTTTAGTGTTTTCCAAAACTGAAATTCGAAAAGAGTGACGGTTTGCCCTTGTGTTGTATTTGGAAGGAAGAGTATTTCTTTAGGGAACAGAGTTCCAGGAAAGGAAGGTGACTTGGGCATATAAGGATTCCAAAGCCAACATGTGCCCCTGGGTAATGTTAGATATGCCTTATTAGTTAGAATAGAAGTTCCTTGAGGGAAATGGAATCCATCTTTGTAGTCGTATGTGGTTGCAAACAGTGAGTGGTGTGTAAGTAAGTAAGAAAAGCTAGCAATTCAGGAACCTCCCGTCTTTCCATCTCCCTGGCTACCCATTCCCCTGAGGGCTGGTGACGGGCCTCACCTAGCCCGTTCCCGCCACGGATTTTCTGGAGAGAAAAGTAACCGTGTCATGGAAGCAACTGTGTGTTGCCGAGGTTGTGAATAAGGGGCAAGAGTGAGATGGTTTGGTCTGGCCTCTTTTCAGAGCGGCGATTGATTACTGCTGTCTGTGTTGCCTTTTCTTCCAGAGCTGACCTGTCCCGGACGCAGCATAACTAACGAAGCTGCTGCAGGATGAGAAGATGGCAGCGCGGCTGCTCGCACCACCAGGCCCTGATAGTTTCAAGCCTTTCACCCCTGAGTCGCTGGCAAACATCGAGAGACGCATTGCCGAGAGCAAGCTCAAGAAACCGCCCAAGGCCGAAGGCAGTCACCGGGAAGACGATGAGGACAGCAAGCCCAAGCCAAACAGTGACCTGGAGGCAGGGAAGAGTCTGCCTTTCATCTATGGGGACATCCCACAAGGCCTGGTCGCAGTTCCCCTGGAGGACTTTGACCCATACTATTTGACGCAGAAAGTGAGTTGGAGGAGGTGGCGGCCCAGCTTCAGACCCCCTTTCCTCACAGGCTTTAGGGGAGACAGGGAAGAAAGAACTGTCCCTTTGCCCAAGTTTGGATAAGTAGTTCACCTTCTGGTTCAGTTCTGGTTAATGGGGTTTATTTTTCAGTTTAATTGCTGCTCAGGGTCATTTGTGGGTCTTGACACTTCTCGACTCTGTTAATAAGACTTCCGTTTTTAGCTCCAGGCCAGATCAGAAAAAGATGAAAACAGATTAAAAACAAAAACAAAAGAGAACATAAATGCAATGGGACTATTTAACAGAGTCCAGGAAAGATGGCATAGTGAAAGATGATATAGCCGGGTAGACTCTCTCTCCCACACACATTCAAAATTCTATCTTTAAATATAAAGATGATGTAACTATTATAGTATCAACAAAGACTATTGTTAATATAAAGGAGTTGATGGATTTGGACTCTATCCGAACTTTCTCTGTCCCTTGGTAACATTAGATCATAGCTGTTGGAGACAGGAATAGAATAAGGTAAACCAAACCAGGCCAGTGAGGACACGGGTCTTTGGCCTTGTTACTCAGTTGTGTGGGTTGAGCCACCACTCATTCTTCCATTAGAGTCCATTCTGTTATTCTTGCCGATAAGAAGCACAAGTGAAATAAATGCTACTCTTCGTTTGGCCAAGAGTTTCAAACTCCTCTAACAAATATTTGACCAAACCGTGGGTTTCTTTCTCATGATTATTTTTTGAAACGAGGCAACAGGTGGAGAAACAAAGCCCCCTGGTTAATCCACCAGCCAACTAATGAGCCATTGCATACTGAGGAATGACATCAGACACCATTTTAGGGATCCCTCATTTGATAAATGTCATTTAAAGAATTAGAGTGATAGGTGTTTCCAGATGAGGGGAGAAAAGGCTTTGTGTAATTACATATTCACAAATATGTAATACCTAAACCCTCTTTATTAACAAAATTGCCTCATAAACTTCTCCTAACTTGCCCTTCAATCTTTTAATTTGGAAGAAATTTTAGTTTCTTGGCTTAATAATGGGACAGAAGTAAGATGAGACCAGTAGATCTCTTGATCTAGCTATAGTTGTGGAGTCATTTTTGGCTCAGGATGGCAAAAGCAGTTAAGACATTGTCTACACAAAATGGTCCTTCACTCACTTCTGTTGCACCTGAAAAATATAGAAAGTTTCAGAAACAAAGCATGATGTGATAGAAATAACAGTAGGCTAGAAGTAAACACTCCTGACTCTGCCATAATTCACCATGTTTATTATCTGTATTTCTCTTTTCTCTTTTCTCTTTTGTGTATTGTTCAAGCTACCACAGATAGATTATAGGAAGAGAAAGTTGTAAATAAAGAAAAAACTTGTCAAAACTAGTTCATGTCTGTTAGCAAGACATGTCACTTCTCTGGGCCTAAATTTTCTCATCTAGAACTGAGAAGTTGGACAAAATTTCTAAGGACTTTTTCACACATCAAGTTCTGGAACTGAGTAGTTTTCATAAACTTTCATTGATTTCCTCATTTACTCTTCCCTTTTTTAAAGTCTAACTTTGTAATCTGGGCCTTTGCAGAGTGGGGTAAATGGGGGAAAGAGGAGGCAGGCTGTAACATTCTGGGTTAGTGAATAAGGAAACATGGAATCGTGGGCTATTTTTAGAAAAAAATTACATTCGTTATAAAATTTTGAAATATTTTTAGATTTCCTTGCTCTTTCCTACCCTTAAGTCCATGATCTTAGAAAAGGTACAAAGCAATGACAAATCACAGGGTTTAGGTTGTGCCTATTTAGGTGAGTTGGCCAATGATATAACTTTTTCAGAAAGTACTCTTATGGCAGTAAGAAAATTGCCTTGGACCCTGGCCTTTCAGGTTCCTAAAACTTCTTTGCTTTTATTTTAACTGTTTATTTTTCCAACTCAAATACAAAGTAAGTCTACCTTTCTTAAACCTGACTTAATATATGAAGAATACATAGAGCTGTTTGTTGTCAGAGCCAGTTTCCCTTTGCATGCCTTTTCCCCTGGTCCTGCCCTATAGATAGCGTCTTTTCTCCTAATGCCTCAGATTTCAGTGGCCCTGGATCGGGACGGAGGCCTCAAGCCAACAGTCTCTGACCTTGATAGGTATCATTCCTTGGGTAGGATAGATGTTGATGGAGCTCTATTAGGGGACTGGCACTTCATGATAGACAGTCTGACTTCAGCCTTTGGCCTCACCACAAGGGTAGATAGTTTGCGGAAAGGATAACTTTAATTGTATTTTTTTTTTTTTTTGCTCATCTTTTTTTTTCGTTATTGTGAAACATACCACCATGCAGAAAAGTTCATACAACATAAGTGCATAGATTAATGATTATTATAAAGCAAACAAACTAACACTCATGACAAGAAAGAACATTAGTAGCACTTCAGAAGTATTAATTGTACTTTTAATCAAGGGATTTTTTTTAAGATTTTATTTTTAAGTAATCTCAACACCCAACATGGGGCTCAAACTTACAACCCCAAAATCAAGAGTCACATGCCAACCAGGCACCCCAAAGCAAGGGATTTTTTAGTTGAATAATAATATGCTTGCTCAAGTTTATTTACAAATCTTCACTGGCATTACTAATACTTCTAACTAGGCCTTTCACTAGGCCAAATTAGCAAGGTCTCCTCTACAAGGAAGCACACTGGGAATTAACCCACAAATCAAAAAATATTGAGAGTAGAAATGACTTTAAGAGGAATTCCCTTGCGTTTGTTTTTCATGGACTGCCTTAAATAATTCTTGCAAAATAGAATTTTCTTTGTTAAATGGTACAAGTGGATTTCTTTATCTTTTCTTTATAGGTCTCATTTTCTACCTAATTAATCATTTTTATGGTTCTCATTGAAATTGGTTTCTCATTTCCTTCCCTCTGTTTTAGAAGGTGAAAGAAAACTACTTCCCTGTCAGTAGAGTTCTGGTTTTATCCCATTGTGGATTTCATACTCTCCAGGGACACAGGAACATAAACCTGTGTGTCATATTTTCAGGATACCCTTGTACCAGCTGGGGCTGGTTTGAGCTATCACAAGCTTCTTGAGGCCCTCAGAAATGTTGTCCATGTTGCATTTCACTCCCAGCTGGTCCCTGAAAACAGTCTAGATTATCCTCTCTCTGGATTTCTTCAGACCTACCAGTGCTATAACATTTTCTTTGCCTCTTGGTACTTTGTTCTAATGTCTCCGTTCTTTGGCTTTCTTGTATTTCAGCTGTTACTTGCAAATAATTGAATTTAAGGGATTTGTTTGTTTGTTTGTTTACATTAAATAAAAATAAGTTGTATACCTACATGGTTAAAAAATCAATTGAAGATATTCAGTAAAAAGTCTCTCCTTTACACCTCTCCTTCATCTGCTCACTCCCTGTCTCCCTGAACAGGTAACCACTGTTAGGAGGGTCTTCCAGAGTTTCTTTATATATGTATTGGCAAAAAAAATAGGCATTCAAAGGAACTTGAACTCTCCTGAATGCCTTTGTTCTTGGTTTTCTTTCTGCTATTTTCTTAAGCCTGTTGAAATCTTAATTTTGTTATTTGTTTTCCCTTCTTTCATGCTTTGAATTCTTTTTTTTTTAAAGATTTTATTTATTTATTTGGGAGAGAAGGAATGAGACAGAGAGAGCATGAGGGGGGGAGGGTCAGAGAGAGAAGCAGACTCCCCGCTCGGCAGGGAGTCAGATGCAGGACTCGATCCCAGGACTCCAGGATCATGACCTGAGCTGAAGGCAGTCGCTTAACCAACTGAGCCACCCAGGAGCCCCTGAAATCTTATATTTTATCGGTGTAAATTCTCAATTCATTTCTCCCCCTTCCAAACTTTTTTAATAAATCAAATCAAGGACTTTCTATTACTTGAAAAAGTGTCTCTCTCTCCAATCCTTAAACAATAACTTGTTGAATTTCAAATGGCCACATATATTCCCGATAACTATCTTAAGTGGGGCAGCAAGAAAGTTTGTGGATTAGGTTGAAAAAGGCCTTCAGAGTTGGCTCCTGCTTCTTTTTCCACTTCTTAAATTAGTAATTGATCCATGTGTCCTTTTTGTTCAGTGGGTATACCCTCTTATAAGAAAGTCTTATGAACAAAAATCTAAATTATAGGATGGACTGATGTGCCTTTAAATAGGGCACATGCTATTGCATTAAAAAATTATATGTGGTTTCCCAAAGTTCACTTCACCTTCAACTCTTCATTTCTCTTTTCCTACAAATTGAAGTCTACCTAGAATCATAGAAAATTAGAATATTGTATCCTTAGACATTAGCTAATTCAGCCTCCTCCTTGTATAAATTTAATGAGGGGAAGTACTTGTCAAAAGCCAACATTAGGGACACCTGGGTGGCTCAGTCTGTTAAGCATCTGCCTTTGGCTCAGGTCATGATCCCAGGGTCCTGGGATGGAGCTAGGAGTCAGGCTCCCTGCCCAGTGGGGAGTCTGCTTCTCCCACCCTCTGCCCCTTCCCCGATCATGCTCTCTCTATCTCTCCCTCTCAAATAAATAAATAAAATCTTTTTTAAAAATATGTAGCCCTTCTTCAAAAAAAATTTAAAAAGCCAACACCAGTGTTCGTGGTGGAGCCAGGACTAGAACCCCTGCCTCCTAACTCTTAGTTTGTTACAACACATTTCCGGTTTTCCACTTTTCTAATGTTGTATTAATTGATCCTCAGCTTCATTGGCTCAGTTCTTCTGAAGCTACGCAGGCAAATTTAGAGACAGGAAGAAGAGCCTACTTTTTCATTCACATTCCTGATAATCCCTATGGTCTAATAACGCTTTTTAGGATCGGTCCTAAGAAGTGCAGTACTTCTGAGGGAAAGGATGGTGTCTGTATTAGCTCCAGTATTTTATCTTCTGAAGTGAAGGAGCTGAGTAGTCTAGCAGCCCTAGACAAGCTATTCTAGAGACTTGGGCTCAGTATCAGTACTTCTGTTACTATTCAGCTGGACATGT